TGGCCAGGAAGCCATCATAAGTGGGAGAGTACCACCAGTGGTAATTACAAGGTAGATATCAGAGGAACAGATCCCAACTCCCATGAGTTGGAATTACCTTGGTTAGAGGAAATTTAACCGAGGTCTGTCACTCATTAGTGAGCATCCTAGTTGATAGGCTATTATATTCGGTAAGACTAGTGCTAGTCTTTTGAAGGACAGTGATGGGTGTACGCTGGACTTAATGCTTCAACTACACATTATTCAGCGTTCTTGGCAGTGGTTCCTCCAACTACACTGAAGTTATCTCTTAGGTACCCGAGAGTGTGTAGGGACCTTTCCAGTTCCAAATGTGCTTGCCAGAATACTTCACTGATTCCAGAACTAGGTGGTCACAGATGCGTGACTTTTTTTTCTACACTTAACTCACTTTGGGGCCTGAGCAATATTTAGCATTTCAGTAGTATTTAGGCACAGCCATTTAGAGTAGTAAAGTTAGCACTGTCATTTGCGTGGGTGAAGGTATTGCTGAATACCATGAAAATGGGAATTGGATTACATTCTGTGTAAATGCTCTTCAATTTTAAGATTTTTCCACACCGACGTTAAATTTCTTAACTGATTAAAGACAGTTCTTCCATGACTTTAATAATCTCTATCACAGCTAAATAACTAAATAGATAGTAGACATATGAAAGAATTATTGTGCTTTTATGCTTCTGGATGTTTTGTGGTTAAAAAAAAAAGACAATAAATATCTTCTCTTGACATTTTCATTTTCTCTGAATCTTCTTACAAAAGGCTTTTTTAAGGCATAAGTGTGAACGTGAAGTTAGCTATCCGTGACTGACCAACCAGTATTGTCTATGGCAGAAGTTTACAAGCTGTGCCTCAGCAAAGTAGCATGCAACCACTGCCTGAGGAGCTAATATCAAGAGATGTTCCTACCCCAGCATTAGCAGAAGTAAAAAATAAATTTGGGAAGCCTGGCCCAGGGTGAATATTGTTCCACATTGGCAGCTAACCCTACTGTAGCTGTGGCTTAGTTGTGGTTAATTGGATGATTTGCTCAAGAAACTGGGCTAAAAAATTCTCTGGCTAACATGATTTGCATGCAAGAAATTTTATAATGAAAACCCCATTCATCTGTGTAGTTACTACCTGTCCCTGTACTTAATAGTTTTTTTGTGTTTTATTATTTGCCTTTTTTGTTGTTGTTGATTTCTCCCTACTTACGATTACAATTGTTATCAGTACAAACTAGATCTTTGGAAATGTCCAGACTTTCCAGTGTTTGGCTTATTTAGCAATGTGGTGTTCCCCTTGCTGCTTTCCACTTAAGAAATTAGCTGAACATTAACCAGTGTGATTGAGTATCTTTGATAGCATACTGTGAGAAAGATGCTAAAGCACTCATTCAGCAGCCTTTGTCAACGCTCCAGATCATAAATGAGGAACATGAATGAAAAAGTTGTTGATTTACAACTGAAAGGGTGGCCTTCAACACATTGGATCACTAGCTAAGCCTCTAAAATGCTGTTAAATGAAATTATAGATTGTGGCTTATAAGTAATAGTAAAAATTATTTGCAGAATGATCGAAAGTGTATACTTGAAATATTTGACTTATTCTTTCCAGTCTAATCATTATTTTTTTCCCTTTCAGAACAGCAACTTAAATATTCAGTACTTAAGATCTTGATTTCAGAGTATAAAAACAACTGAATAATATTTGAGCCAAAAATAGGAAGAGGCCCTTTGGTACACAGGTCTGCCTTCTGTCTGCCATATATCTTCAACTTAACGCTAGTAGGTGATGTGTGATTAAATCCTGTGGCCAGCTTTGAAAATCCCATTTTAGCTTAGAAGTAATTATATATGGAAATCTGTTATGAGTGCTATGTGGATAACTTTCATTTACACTTAGTAAAGTGTAAAACTGGAATCTCTATTTATAAAGCTGTTGTTTAAGGTTCCCTTTTGTTCTGTCCTTGATTTAATTCATGCTATTCAAGTTTTGCTCAAACAGCAGGTTTGGTCATTAGTAAATAACAAAATAGCTTAGCTCTTTGATCTCTACAGTCCTTACATACAATGTGCCTGTAGGCATGTGTAATATAAATATTTGGTAAGTGCAAATAATTAGAAGATTTTGGATAATAGGCTTGTTGAAACTAGCAGTATTTTGCAGATTTTCAGTTCCTGTTGGATGGGACAGGGACCAAATAAGCAAGAAAAACCTCAAATAATTTAAAAATTTACAAAGCATTTGTTTTTAATAGCAGTTATAAAAATTACTATGCCTTTAAATCCCATTATTTACATAGGAAAAAATTGTATTCTTATTGATTTGCATAATTATAAAATGTGTAGTGATTTTAAGCTTCATGTATGGGTCATCTTTAGATCCAGAAGCAAAATTGGCAAGATGCATCAGAGTTCTGGTTTTACTTGGAGTGTGCTGCTGCTTTTATTAATATTACTCAGTTGATGTGGCAAAAAAGTAATTCCAGTTAAAGAGGTTTTTTTACTTTTTTGATTCTTAGACTGTTAGGTTAAACATTGTCCTATGACAGTGACACAAGTCAGTGAACAAATCCCATCTTCCTTTACATACTAGTCAATATTGAGGAACCCAGTGAAGAAATCAGCGGTTTCTGGAGTGGGCTCCATCTCCAAAGAACACGTCAGGGAAACGTCCCTGAAACTCAGCAAGTGTAACTGCTAGTGTACTCTTTAACTCTGAAGGTAGAACTACTCTTCCTTTAACTCCTGAAAGCAGTATAATTAGTCCATTTTGGAGCTAGCTGTCACTAACTTCTCGCCTTTTTTATAACCATTTTGTTCCAAAAATTGCAGTGGGGAGGTAGTCTGAAGTTGAGGACCCCTTTGGTTTCCTCTGTGATTCTAGAGAATGTGAGGAGAGGGAGATGTTTCTTTGACCACTTAAAGCTAGTTCTTAAACAGCTTTGAGCTCTTATACACTGCAAGGAACTCTCAAAGGTCCTTTCAGTAGCAGCATCTTTGTTGCATCTCCCCATAGCTTGAGTTGTTCATATATATATAACTGCAAAGCTTTGTATAGCATAAGATACAGAGGTTTTGTAAGAAAGATTAAGTACCTAAATTCAAGTTAGGTGTTTATTCTCAATTCTTCACATACGTAATTACTCTCAATAATTATTTGTACAAACATTCAATTAAAAGTATTTCTAAATGCTAGCTATGTTGAAGTAAGAGGCATTCTCAAAACACATGCTGCATATTGCATGTGTACTTTGCTTAGAATATTTTCGATTTCTTTGTGTGTAAGTCTACCCATCATCATGATCCTGTGGTGTTTGAAGGTACAGTTTAGGAAAAGCTGAGTACAGGCTCCACCAAAACGGGCAGTCCTGGCTTGTCCTATCTGTAACAGAGCATTTCTGCTGTCTCGGTTACCTGGATCAGAAAGCTGATCTGTGTGAAAAATAGCACAGGAAAACAAAATGGAAATTGTCTGCCTGGTACAGCTGGCTAAACTATCTCGCCAGTGCAAGAGGTGGGGGGAGGAGGCTGGATTGTTTTTTCCAGCATCAACCCACGCTGGTTTTACCTAAATTACTCAGGAAGCCATATTCTAAGAAAGTAAATGACCAGTTTTACTTGAGATGTAAGATTCATACAAGATTTAAAAGATGTAAGATACAATAAAGGTATTTACTTGTCATTTAAGAGCTCTAGGTGAAGTGCTTGGCACTGTTCCATCATGCTTATGTAGCTCCCAAGCGATGTTTATCATCATGCTTTCTTAAACCCCTGAGGTTACTATAATGATACTTTATCTTTTAAATCTGTGATTTTCTTTCCCTGCTTTCCTAGAGAGCTTCATCTGTGTTGTTTGATTTGCTTTGGTCTTAAACAGAAAGGTTGGATAGCATTTGAAGGCAAGGCTGGAGACAGGAGCTCTCTACATGTCACAGGCAGGCTGGGAGGCATCTTGGTTCGTGCAAAAGCAAATTCTGGTCTCAGTCCTTCCCTCGTGGAGGCTCAGGAGCCTGCACAGGCAAATGCCATACTTGCAGTAAATGTACACCATCATCGGCTCTTGCTGACAGCTTCAGTCAGCTGGCACAAGAAGCTTCACAACCCGAGGCAACTTTTGATTATCCATAACTTAAATGCTTTAACATTCTGGAAATAAAGATCTGCAGCTTGAACTTGGCACGGGGCTCTGTGGGAAACCAGCGAAGCACAAGGAACAACAGAAGGCGAGGAAGTTCAGGCAGTGTAGCCAAGGAGACACCCAGGCGCATCGCAGCTAGTTATCTGGTGCTTTTCTGGCTGAGTCTCACAAGCCCGCGTGAGTACATTGCATTGCTGTTCCTAATAGGATTTAGGAGGGGAATGTAGTGCCAAAGCCAAGCTGCCCCTCCTGAGAGGCCAGGGCATGTCACTTAGAGAAAATGTATTGGATTGCTGCTGGAGGTCTCAGTATTTGGGCAGAGGCCAGTTGTGGTTTTCCTTGCAGTTTAAGTACCCAAATGTAATGGCTGTGATTATGAACTTTCTCCTTTTATCTTGCTGTGGTCTGATATAATTTTGTTCCTTATCAACCATTATCACATTAGAGGCAAAGGTTTATCAAATACCTTATCGGGTGAATGACAAGCATTTAGTTAGCTTTATGCTGCTGATAAAGAATATTGCAAAGTTTGTCTCTCTCTCTTCTTTGGTATCTGTAAACTTTGCAGAAACCCACCTCAGCAGGATCCTGTGGAAGTAATCTGATGGCTCAATACCAGGTTTTCCATTATTACTCTAAAGGTACTTTCTTCTAGAAAAGATCAATTAAGTGCATTTCTGTGGACCCCTGCCATGAAGGTTATACTATAGTGGTACAAGTATGTCCTCATGAAAGATGGAAGAGTATTGTTGCAGCTAGACTTTGTATATGAAAAACATTACTACAATCTCGTTATTTCACGTTTGGAGATTGCTTACTTGGGGGTTTCTTGTTTCTTTTTTGTTTTTACTAAATAGACTTGGATTGTCACTTGCTTTTGTCTTCAACTACTCCTGCTTAATCCTCTTGTCAAAGCCCAGAGTTCCTGCGGGAATCCAGTGACAGATGATGTGAATGACATTGCAAAATTGGTAAGTAGCTTTTTTTAAAAATTATTTTTTATGTTAAACAATAATCAGTGACTAATGGCACTTACATTTTAAGCAAAGTTAGCAAATCTATATCAGAACCAGGGGAATATTAACAAAAAAAATAAATCCATTGATGTCTGTGACTTGATCAAAACCAAAACCTTTACTGCAGAGACTGGAGAGTAGTTTCAGAGTTCATTGAAGAGGTGATCTTCTTGACCAAGCTGGACTGTATGTACACATGTGTTTTCCTCCCTCCAAACTTCCATAAAAATTGTCAAAAGTCTTGATTTCCTCAAACATTGTCTGGGATCAGATTGCTTCCCATGCAGAAGAAAGATTATTGGCTTTGTGTTACTGATTACTGTGGAGCAGACTGGCAGCAAACACAACTGAAATGAATCGGGAGGCTTTACCTTAGGTTGTATGGGAAACTTGTGCCATATATAAAAATAGTATGATATTAGACATCATTGTAGCAATCAAGGCAATAACAATTGAACAGCTCTTACAGTCTTTAGGTGTCAATAAGCTACACTCATTATGTGTTTCCCTCCCTACTTGCTGTACCTAGAAGTTTAAGTCTGAAGGACTCGCAGCTTCATATAAGAACTGAATTCATTTAAGTACATTTTAACTGTTACTTAATTGAACACTGCATTAACCTGAAAAACTGCATCTCCTTGTGTGAAGTCAGTTGGTATTTAACTCCACTGAAGTCCGTGATTATGCTAACTTGCAGTAGTGCAGGATCTAACACCAAAGCTTTTAAGAAATAATATATACTGAACACTTAACAAGCATCCCTTCATCTACGCACTGACTTCAGCTGAAAATTATGGCTTCATTATGGAAAGATGGTTGCAATACCAGTGTTAATATTATCAAACACTTAATTTGGAGTCCCTTGCATTTGCTGCCAGTGCAGTGTTCTTAAGCTGTTTTCTTTGGGCATTGTTATATACATTGGCACATAGTGTAAGTCTCTGGGGGTGCTCTATAGTCCTACTCAGATGCTTAATGCTTCACATTAGTCCCTTTAGGCAGAATTCTGAAGTATCAGCATGTTTATTCAAGATAATATTTCATCTCTTGACAGAGTATTAAGCTTTGATTTAAACCTGTTGAAAGCATGACAGAGCAACAGAACTCCTGTGAGGGCTGGTGAAACTGTCTAGTACAGGGTTAGCAATAACTTTTTGTCAATTATGCATCCTCAGAACAAATGCTTTAACTTTCCCCTTAGTACAATTTAAACTTCAAGAATGTATAAACACAGGTTACAAAAATTTGCATGCAGCTTGAGCAATCACACTTTGCTTTTGAGATAAATTATGAAAGAAACCTAATATCATAAAAATTAGGTTAGTCTTTAATTTGGCTGTGACTTTCCCTATCGTGTTCCTAGATCTTCCTCCAGACTAGTCCAGCAACTGCAGTTCTTGCACATACCCCTGCAGCACTGTGTTTCCATACCCAGACCCTCCTCCACACCCCCTCTTAGTTCTCCACATGCAGCGTGGTTGCTGGTTCCCTCCCATGCGCCCTGGGCATGATGCCTACCTGAGCGATGTTTTGAACGCTTGCCGGATTTATATCCCCTTTTGCTTGGGCTGCTGGCTTGGCAGGAAGGACTTTGTGTGGTGACTGTTCTGTTGTATGTGCTGCTCGTCCTGGAAGAAAACCTCTGCCAACTGCCGGGGTTGCACTGTGCTTCTGCTGCTGCCAAGCCTGAGCAGAGTGGGGTAGGGCTGAGCTCTGGCCATTCCTCAGTGAGGATGCTCTACGGTCCTTCTCCTGACTTACACCCATACCTTTCAGATCTCTCTACCAAATGCAAAATTTGGGTGAAGTTAACTAGCAAGTTCAAACATATTTTGAGTTGGAGAAATAACAGAGAGATGCAGAAAATACAAAGCCCAGACACCTGGATTCTCTCTGGTTTGAGTTGTGCGTCTGAGAATGTTCTGAGGAAAGTCTGTATCCGTGTTTTGTCTGTGTTAAATATTTGCATAGATTTTTTTCATGCAGAAATAATTTCTATAAAGCTACTTGAGAATTGAAAGGATAACAGGGAAATAAGTTTGGTATCTTCAATTAGTATCAGAACTCTTGGTTTCAGTTAAACTGACTATATTGCCAGTTGGTCATTCTCTTTTGAAATGCTACACCATGACAACTTGACATTGAGAACAAAATTAAAAAAAATATATATAATAAGGTTTAAAGTACTTTTTAAACAAAATATCATTAGCTGACTGTGAATACGAGAAGGGAGAAATTTACAGAGAACACTGACTGATCACATTACTTTGCTAAAAAGTACAGTTTTCTTATGCTATATGGAGTATATCCTTAGTACCTATAATATGGACTCCAACATGATGTTGCTTAAAAATATAGTTCAGGAAACCATACAACTCTTGTAAATTACTATGAATGTTTTTATACCACTTCTGCTTTTTGAAACAAAATACAGTAATTGAATTAAGGAATGATATTCTGATGACTTACGTCTTCAAAATTAGACATAGCACCCATAGGTGGTTGGGTTCTTTATTGATCCTATTGGCCTTTAACAGTCTTATTTCTCTGCTGATCCAAAGAGTTTGTGCCACTAGGACATAGTGTTTTTTAATAAATGTCTTCACCTTTCACACTGAGAACAAATTGTAGCACCAGGGATTTTGCAGAAGCTAATGTTATGTGTACAGTTATTGCCCATAGTTACTGTGATATTATCCACAAGCTCTATCACACTTGCTGAGAGTGGTATGACAGTTGTTTCCAAAGGCTTTATTCTTGGCCACACTGTCATGTTCTTTAAACCCTTTTGTCCACAGTCGTGAGTATAGTCCTGTATCTGTGTGTGCAATAAACTAGCTGTTCAGTGGTAGTATGCAAGTCCCATCATTTAGCTTAGGATATTGGCCCCTCTTCCTCCTGACTCATGACAAATGCTCAGACATCAGCTTAGATTCAGTATGGCCTGAATCCTCCACTAAGGTGGATTATGATCTCTTCATCTCCCCAAAATGTTAGTCTTCCCTAGGCCTTTTCTCCTTACTGTAAAGGTGTGTCACTATCTCTCCCCAGCCATTCAGGTCTATAACAAAGGTGTCCATTTTGGCTCTTGATACTTCACAGATCCTTGTAAGTTCACTTTTAAAATCTCCATTGTTTTTTCCTGTCATAACATGAAAAAATGTTTTTGTAGTTCTCTGTCCATACAAATTCACGTTTTCTTCCAAATTCTTGGTGGATAAAAATCCAGTATACTGAAAAGATTTCTCCTGGCTTCAACTTCTATAATTTTGCCCTTCTGTGTATTAATTTGCTGCTCTGACCTTGTATCTTCTACTTATTTCCTTCAAGCTGTTCTTCCTTTTTTTCATTATCAATGGCAAGCTTCTTGGTTTTGTCTTCAAAAGCACTATTAACACTGCCTGTGATGTCTTAACACATGCTGAGTTTGCCCTCTTGTCCTAGCTTCTCCTCATTATTTCCATGGTGTCTATTACGCTGTTCATGGCCACAGGAAGGATGCTCCTTGATGAAATCCAAGCAGATTCTCTTCCTCTTCCTATCTCACGCTAAAATTCTTTGCAGCATGAATCCTTGTCCCTCTTCTTTCTTTTTCCTACTCTGTTCTTCCCTACCTCTACTGCAGTTCACCTACAGCTTGCAAAATGGTGCCATAATTTGCTACCAAACTCTTCTGCCTGTAGCTTGATACAACCTAGTCTTTATTTATTTGGTTCTGGGCTTCTTGTTGCAAATACTGTAAACCACCAATATCACTGGTAGAAAACTGCTGAGCATGGCTGTGGCTGTGTTCTGCTTGACTCTATTGTATTCTAGAAATATGAGAAGAACATTCCTCAGTCAACACTTTCTGTGAATAAAAATCAGGGATGTCTGCTAAGCCTAAGCTATTGGAGAATAAATAAGGCACACTGTGCGGTGCCTGAAAATGTGGGTCATTTGCCTAATCAACTTTGTGTTGAGTAATAAATTGAGGCCAGATGTATGGTGTAACTTGTTTTCGGTGGTGTTAATCTGGATTTTCACTAGCATCATATTAGACTCATACCAGAAGCTATAATCGGAAAGAAAGAGCAGATTCAATAACAATAAGGTTTCTGAGCATTAATCAACCTAAGACCAAACCAGACTGGTATCTGTTCGTACAAAAATGACTTGTATTTTCTGCAAGATTAAATTTATTCAAATCTTAGTAATATAATTTTGTCATATGAAGAATGTGTCCTAAGTAAAATGATTTTAAGATGCAAAGAACAATTGAACAATCATTTTTGTTTGTTTTTTTTAATAGTGAGAACTTTAAAAGGGCATAATTTCATACCTATAGACAATAAAAGTACTTAGAGAGTATTCATTCTGCATTACTAATCACTTGAACTCCTGCTTCTTTTTTAATGAAGATGTCTGGAGGGAAACACATTACTTGACAAACAAATGTTCCATATTATGAAACTGTAATTGCAGCACCTGTCAATAAAGCCTGTCGCCATTGTTCTTTTCAGCACAGTAAGTCAGCAGAAAGCTGCATTGCTGTAATTGTGACTCTGATTTTGCATAAGTTAGGAATCTGTTTGATATATTTTTGTTAAATATGAATATCAAACCTAAGTATAAGTAGAATTTTCACTGAGCTGTGCACTGTATATAGAATGTACCTACATATTTTGGTTTCATCCATTAACAAAATCTAAGATATTCACCTCTTCCTCCATGATCTAAAGCAATTTTTTTCTTTTGAATGTTGGAAGCCTAAACAATAGTCAGCATTTACTGACCAGGTTGCTTGTTCGAAACATGCTGTTTCAAACACTTTGCCTTCACTTTGCATCTTTGCTGTAAATGTGTACTTTACACTCTCTGCAACATTTGAGATTTATTTTTAAATGGATCTAACTCTCCTGAGTGAAGGGGTTGTAAAAAATGATCCAGTGTTATTATCCTGCAAATAATCTGCCACTATGGCTGCAAGAAGTGTGAACGGAAATTGTTAACATGTTGTCTTAAGCCGAATGAAGAGGATTTTATTAACTGCTTCATTAGCAGATGAGATGGAGTAGATTGCAGAGATGATGGACAGAAAGTGGAAGCTCCTACAGGAAAAGAAAAACCAAGGATGCAAAGAAGGGAGATGCAGAGGTATTAGACAGTAGGAAAAGGGAATGATGAAGAGAGAAGTGGGAGGTAGAAATGGTAACCAAAAGGAAAGTATGGTTTTCCCATCACATTTCTCAGAGTAAAAAAGAAATCACTGACAATGGTAAATGGTAATTCTTACTTTATTAACTTACTTTATCTTGGATTTGTGTATTAAAAAAAAAAAAGCCCTCATTCCAAAGCACTTCACTGCAGAGACAGGTCATCTCTCATGTTCTGCTGTTGCAATGAAAGAGTAGTTTAGGGAACTCAAATCGCTTTTACAACATCCCTTTTTCATTTCCCTATCTATGTGACCATGAGCATATTTTAAAAGTATATTTGGGTTATGCAATGTTAACAGTGCTGTATTAAATATTCAGACCTCTGTATGTCAAAAGGAATCTTACATTCCCCAGTTTGAGATTTTGTTACAACTGGGAATATAGCACTTAATGTTGGGTTTACATGGATTTAAAGATATAAGTTTAGATTCCCTCTTCTTCACCTCTTCTCAGAGCCTGATAGGATATCTACAACCACACACACCCACTATATGAGAGAAACTTTTTGTGGCATTTTAATTGCAATGCAGGGTTCTTTTAGTTCTATATGTTACTTTCCAAGATTATCAGTTGACATTCTCTGTAATCATCAAAACTGTTACTTTTGTCTAAACCAAGGTAAGTCATGCAGGCAGGTATTTCATTGCCCCCAAATTTGTCACTGTACTTAAGAGTTGAGTACAGGACCAAAAAAGCCGTTCCAGGACTCGGAGTTTCAAGGGACAGTCCCTTTCCCTTTCCATCCCTCTTGTTGTCTGCTCCTTGTTGGGAGCTGCAGCAGTCAGGGCATCCCGCACAGAGCGGGTGTGCAGAGACCTTTCATTCCTTTCAGGATCTTTTCAGCAGTTGAAAATCAAGTGGTTGGTTTTGGATCATAGTCTTGGTGGTTAGTCTTCAACGAAATTTCAAGATTCATTTTGGGAAAGCAAGAGAGTACAAAACACACAGATTTAGTACAAACATATCCTTCACTCTTACATCAGGGGCTCTACCCTATTTTCTCTGCGTGAGTTGGGAAGTCCAACTGGGACACAAATATAAGTCCTTTGCTTTGACTGAGCTCCATCATTTACCATCAGCAGAGCATCTGGCATGTGGAGTTTAATCAATAAAACTTTAACAAGTTGTTTCGTCTTGAGGCAGGGCATATATTTTGTGTTTGACACCCTCCCCCCCAGTGATAATCATTTTTAGTAGTAAATGCAAAAATATCTTTTCTGATTCACGATCTGTCAAGGAGAAAAATCTGAAGCTGAGCTGTATTCTCTGGCTTTGTTTGAGAAGCTGTAAGAGCTCTTGGGCAGTTACTTTTTTTTTTTTTTTTTTTAACTGTGCATGAAAAGTGCTTGACAGGCTCTGATGCCAGTAAAGTAGATTGTATACATAATGCATATCAATTCTTGTAGTGTTCATTGATTTGGAACAAATTTAATCTTCCAGTGACCTTTCTTAAAGAACGGTGCTTTTGCTGACATTGCTAAGTATTGAATCCCTCTAGAGTGAGTATGGGAAACTTTGCACATACAGTAGCATCTTCGCTATCTTTGCTGCTTGAAGTGCTGCTAATCCTACCTCTCTAGGCACGCAAAGGAAGCTGGAAAAGAAACTGGATTACCTATTAATTTGTCATGACGTCAGGATGTTTTTATAGGAAGGAAAAATATGCAAAAAAATGTGGATGAGGCTTTAGAATAAATCAGACACTCCAAAGAAAGAACAAATGTATTGCAATTTTTTTTCAGTATTTATAGAATCTTGAATCAACTCTCCAAAATGCCATGTAAATAGAAATTGATATAGAGAATTTTAGTGGCACTTCTGCAACTGCTGCTTTGGGAATGTGTAGGTATAAAAATAAAAATAAAAAAAAAGAAAATTGATCTACAGAAATGAATTTACCAGGATCATTTGTATGAAACTTGTTTTTTAAAGCTGTGGGAGAAAGCTAGGTGTCACTGAACTGAAAGATTGTGTCTTAGCCCACGTTGTAAATAAAAAAATGTTTGGAATTCACTAGTGACTGACTATGCATAAGTATTGTCCTTGGTCATTTCTAGAACAATAACATTTTGAAATTGCTTTTTTAATTGAAACTAAATTTTAATTAACAAATAAAACATTCTGTTGTGTCAAACAAAATACTACCTAAAAACTGCACAGGGGGAAAAAAAAAATAATCCCTGTGCTGGTTGCTATAGCAGCAGAATCAAAAGCAGCCATAACAGAATGATCTTTAACCTGAAGAAGTAGAAATGCTTTGCTGAACAAAGTACAGATTCTGGTTCACCAAAGGAATTACGTAAGTGCTTATTGTCTTTTGATTAAACGGATTTCAACCAGGATGAGAAGTATCAATTGAATCTTTCACTGAAACTGAAGAAAATATATTTTCTGTATCACTAAGCATCATAGTATTGGTAAACCTTTTGAAAAAAAGTACTTCAAGAGATTGTGGATCGTGGCAGCGTCTCCCTTTTCATCTCCCCACTCAGCACATTCCCCAGATGATCAACCACTTCTCACGGTAGTGTTGGATTCCATCTGTGGTAGATTGCATTGTATAATTCAAGGAGAACCCTTCTTCCACTCCTTGTCCTTGCTTCAGCACACCTCATACTCACCTGCATCTGCAAAGCCATGCTTAGCTTACATGTGCAGAAGCTCTCCTTTGCCCCAGAACACTGCTATGATTTAATTATATTGCTTACCATTAGTAAGAGGCACAGCTTCAAAGTTAGAGTTGCGCACAAGTGTTTTTCTGACCTGGTACATAACTTAAGTATAAGGCAGGCAAGTATTTCTTTAGGTTCAGATTGGAAATGATTTGAAGGAAAAAGGCTTAGAGACTACTGGGTACTCTGCTGTTTGGAGTGGTTGGGGTTATACAGAAATTGTCACATAAACACTTCAAGACATGCCATTAAAAGATGAAAACGCAGTGGAGCTTCTGCAGTAATGAATAACCTCAGATCACTTCTCACCACATTACTGCCTTTAATTCTGCTGGGAAGTGGTAGCATTGAACATGATCAGATTGGATCTGGGAATGTTACAGAGGTGTGGAAAGATGCTTCACTTGTGAGCCAATAAGAGTCAGTAGCAGTTCCACAGGAAACTGAGTATGTAAACTTTTGCGCCTGGTAGGTTACTGAAAATTTGTGTTGAATATCTGATAGATTTTGTTGAATATGGTGATGGAAATTAAGTCTTACTTTGTGTAGTCAATAATAACGTTTTTATTATCTGTTTATTGTAGGTTGGAAATCTCCCAAATGATTATATGATAACCCTTAAATATGTCCCGAAGATGGATAGCCTGGTATGTACAACCACTTCAAGTTAATCCCAATAAAATAGCCCACTGGAACCAGTGATGGCCATAACATTTTGTACCTAGTCCTGTGGCTTAGAAAGTTAGAGTTAAATAATGGTTATTTCACTTTTCATACTCTTTGCGATTATTCATTTAAAAGAAATGTGGAGAGATTTCTGCAGTCACTTAAAACCTTTTTAGTTGCAGGAATATTAGAAAAATGTTTCTTCATATCAATTTTTTTAACATTTTCTCTGGAAAAAGTCAAACTACGGTATTATTTCATCTTGTCAATTGAAAATTGTTGCTTTCTTAAAGAAGTAGTTTCTTTAATTATACTTTAGAATATTCTGTAGAACGTCCTTCTCATTTCAGCCAGTGGAAATGCTATTAAAGCACAACAAATACAGAGCAGCCAATAAAGAGAACCCTAACTTCAGCAAATGGTAGCATCAGTAACTAAACAAACTGGTAGAAAGTGAGGACATTATTTCATTCAAACATGCTTTGTATTATTCTTTCTATATAATCCCACAGTTAGTGATACTTTCAAATAAGCATCATCTACCTTCTTTAAAACTTTATAACATTTTTGTATTAAGAACTTTTTCATATTATCTTATTTCTTATTCTACTAAATATTTTTGATGTTTTTCCTTAATTTTAAAAAAATATTTTTAGAGTGATGCATTGAAAATGCTCTGTTGGTTGTTGCATACACTGCAAGAAAAAGGAGAGGAGGAAACAAGGTGAAAGAAATTATGCTGAATGCTGTACTATACTATATTGTTTTAAGGAAAGAAAAACAGTAAGAAAAAGACTAGTTTGTCAGTTAAACTGAACAGTGTTGAGCCTGTCTTAAGAATGAATCATTGTACACATACATCAGTAGTTGGAAATCATCTGGTAGATGCAAGAAGCTGGTTTTGTGTCTGTACAAAGTTTTCGTTATGAAAATCCAATTTGTGTGCGATACACGTACAAAAACTCATTCTGTCCTACAACATTGTAGCAAATCTAGCAATATTCCCTATTGATATTGGAGAACGATGCCAGAAGCAACATCCTCTCAGTCATGATTAACTAGAAGATGGCTGGAGGAAAAGGAGGCTGTGGGGTAGTGAAGGGCCCTGAGCTGTGAGGTTACGAGGTATTATGGCAGATCTGGCAGTGTTCTTATGAGTTTTGTTGGAAGCTCGAGGCTTTTACTAAAACTTTGAGTATTTTAAAAAAACCAGTTTAAACTTGATTCCTTAGACAGAAAAACTGCAGAACAAATGCTGTAGAAGTCAGGTACTAGATCCTGTACAATATAATTAAAACTAACAGAAAAATTTCCATTTCTGAAAATAGCCAATACCCAGAGAAAAAGGAACTAAGCCTGGCTGCCACCATCCCCTGGCTGCAGTGCTTTTTGAAATTCAGTGATCTGGGGAGGACAGCTGTAGCCCGAGCACTGCTCCCCAGCCTCGGGGATGAGCACAGCAGCTGATAGGCAAGATCCAGGCTGGATTGGGGCTGTTCCCTCCACTGCGCTCCTGGGGAGGTTGGCACTGCGGGTGAAGAAGGCCAGGGAGCCCGCTTGAGCGATGAGTCCTGGTTGTTCTCATTGCTTAACTCTTACCTTGCTTCATGGTTCAGTTTTGGCTGCCAGTACGCAGTTTCTTTTCTATAGTTTAAATGCCATGTCATCTTGCTGCATCCTATCCAGAAACTTGGATCCAGTTTACATTTACGACAAGCAGCCAAGAAATAAATAGGAAGAAGAGAAGTTCAGAGCCGGGATTTCTATATTCCCTTTGCTCGTACGCCACTTTCAGTCATGGTGATGGAAGGTGCAGCTCTTGGCCACATGCCTTCGCAGGAGGAAGTATTCAGCGGTATTCACATCCCACTTTGCCAAATTCCTCTCTGGGGATTTCAGGTTGTGTTACACATACCACACCAAAGGCTGGCTGAATAAGTCGGGTTTGCGCTGGGTTCCGCAAGGTCCCTGCAAGCTGGGAAACCCACAGCTTTGCATGAGGTGAATGCCCTTTGTTCAGCTCTGAAAGGATTTGAAACGGTGCTCTGCAATTTTTTTTCCCCATAGATTTCAATCTTCAGTGCGTGCATAAAGTGGGAAATGTACCCAAGGTAACAAGTCTGAAATGTAGATGACTAAAGGTAGGAAGGCAGGGTGAATGCAAAGCAGATGGGAAGCCAGTGTAGTGCATGTAACAGGAACAGACTGACCCGATCCATTAAACAGAAGGGTTGTTGCATTATGCACTAGCTCAAGGCATCTGAGTGGCTTTAAAAGTAGTCTCGCTTAGACTAAACTTTGGAGTCTAACCTGAAGGTTAAAAGGCAAAGATGACAGGAGCAGGGGCTGAACTCAGAAGAGGAGATAAACTTCTAACTTTTAGGTAGGCGTAGAAAGGAAAAGCTAAATGAGGACAACCTGGAAGTATGAGGGAAGTCGGGTTTGCAATTGCCCTAAAATGTAAATCTTGGCCAAAGTTTACACAAAAAAGCAGAGTTAAACCTCTATTTCTCCTTGCAAAGAACATCACATTTCTCAATTTCAGCAGTTTCATCCCTGTGTTTGGTAGATATTGATATAGCAAGTGATTGCACAGCTTGATATTACTGAAAAGAAAACTTAAAGCTCTCGTGAAATACAGCTTTGTAGGTCAGAACGGTTCAGTCAGAGGAGACTCCCACACACATGCTAAACTGCGGGAGCAACAAAATAGATTCCCTGCTGGAATCACCAAATGCTCACTAGGACAAGCGGCAAGCTTTTGCTAGTCCTTGCCAGAGGAGAATGCACACCCACGAAACCTCAGAGGAAAAGGGTTTCCAGGTTTTGCAGTTCAGCGAAGCACGGAAGTTCTGTGTCTGTATTCCTACACCAAAGCAGAGGAAAACGTGTTGTCTGTCTCATGAGGGCAATGGGATGTGGCATAACGCATGCTGCTTGGACGGAGTACGTTTCAGCAAGCTTTCTCTGATTTATTTGCTTCTGCCTCTCCCCGTGTTCTTGAAGGAAAAAAAGGAAGCAGAATCAAGCCAAATGCCATCCATTTCACATTTTGTTTAGTTTTTTTTAAGTCATTGCTGAGATAATTACAGAAGGTTTTAATAATGACTTGCCACTTGCTATCAGTGTGTGAGTTGTACACAAAAGTGAAAAGTCAGGTACAGCTGAACAATGTTTTTACATTTGGTTCTCTAAGTCTGGAAGCCTAATAGTCTGGAATAGTCTTCGAAAGCCTGAAGTGTGTTTTTCCTCATCAAAAACATTTACACATCACGGCAGAACACCACCTGTGTCACCGAGAAAGTAATTTGTTGCCAAGTGATGATATCTATAGTAGTGCATAAAGTTTTTTGAATAAAGAATCTGTATGCAGGTTTATTGCAGAAATTTGAGTAAAATGAGATTAAGTCTAGAAGCAGATACATCGCCAAACATGTACTGTGCATTGCAGAAGATGGAGCGGATGGATTCAGTGAATGCTGCCCATCCACTGGGCAGCAACTGGAAACTGTTTTAGTGATACTGAGAGTACTTAGAGGTTGCTGGGCCAAGATCCTCATGTCTGGCAAGCTTTAATGATCCTGAGACATTTTCAACCATTGAAAAAATAGCTTCACATACGGAATAAATTCCCATAACATTTACCATTAAAAATTCAGCATTTATTGGAAAGGGATTTCCACATACATGTTGCAGTGTGACTAATGCATTACCTGTATTTTTGTTGACTGTATTGAGTTAGGGTTTTTCCTGGGCTGGGTGGCTTTTTTATTTACTCGACTACTGTTATGTAAATCTAAGTAAAAGAAGTTAATGACTCCCTCTGAGGCAGCAAGATGAATGACCAGGTTTCAATCGCATGAACAGCTGTACAAACTTTATCTGCAAACTAATTGCATAGGTGGCAGTGAAAGGATTTGAACTCTGTTCCAGTGGCACAGATGGGGCAGATACCACGACATGCTGTGCAGAGCCCTTTTGTCAGTGAAAACTCAGGAAAAGAAAGACATTTAGATCTAGAAACTGTTCTCAGGAATGGCACTTAGTGAAAAAGCTGAAGAGAAGGAGTTAACTAAGCTAACTAGTTTAAAGGAGGATAAAAGCACACATGGATTTAATGCAAAATGTTTACAGAAACTTTCTTCAGAAGATATTTAAATCAAGGATCTTTGGGGTTAACTGAGTCCTGTAGGGTAACAATAATAAAATGAAAACTGAGATTGGTTTAAAGAAAGTCTGGAGAAAATTGTTTAAGCAGTAGTTATTTAAAAAAAAATAAATAGGTTAATGAAAGCATGATCTAGGGTTCATAGTAGTGTGTCCCAAGGCTCAAATTCTCAACAGACTGATGCTTAGCATTCATTAAGAATTTAATGAAGGGTTGGCACTTAACAGACAACCATAAATATGTCAGTATCAGTGAGAATAGAAATCTTACTAAAAAGACTGAAGAGAAAGTTGGCCATAGTAAAGAACATGAATTTTAATTTAGACTTTCAAGATAATTTAAATTGGAAAGAACAGTCTAATCTACTTTTGCACATTGAGCTGATTAACCAGTTTTTACAAAAGTCTGATATTTAATCTACCTCTCTGTTTCTCTTTTTGTCCCTTGACAGCCTAATCATTGTTGGTTGCATTTGATGGTGCCTGAATTTTCAAGGAGTCTACATAATCTTCTCCAGAAATTTTCAGATATTTCAGATATGTCTGATGTTTTAAGCAACTATTCAATCATCAATAATCTCACAAGGATAATTAATGATCTTATGGCATGCCTAGCTTTTGATAAAAATAAGGTAATCTTATACAGAGTTTCTACTTTTATGCTGGATATTTTTATTTGAACTTTCTGTTGCACAGTATTTGGTAATAGTTTAAAAATGTCTAAAGCTTCATTAGATTTGTTTTCATTTTTATTTCTGTACATCTGAAATCATACTTTGTTTAGAAATGCACTGAGTGCACTGTGCTAATGTTGGCTAGTCGTTATCTCCTGTTTCAAAGGAAAATGGCTTACAAGGAATTACAGTATATACAATGACCTGTATACAGTTAGTTAAGTAGTCAAAAATGTAACTGGCATCTTTAAGATAATTAATTCATTCTGGTCTGTTTGAAACTGGCAGAAATCTTCCTTGTGCATTCAGCTTAAATTATTCATTTTGCTAGTGATCCTAATGTAAAGATGATGTCGTTGAAGTTATTAATATACTCTCAGTATATATCGCAGTGTGTGAAGCTCTGAAAGCTTCACCATGGTTTAATGAACTTTTTTATACAAAGACACAGCAAAGACTAGAGGATATCGGCCCATTTCCATGTGTTTCTGGATTCCAACAGCAGCTGGAAGGATTCCAGGAGTCTCACTCAGGAGACATCTGATTCTCTTGTGTGAAAATGATGGGGGGGGGGGGGGAAAATAACTTTTTAATCCCTTACTCAGCTCTAACCAGTCTATCAGTAATTAAAAATAAGTTCTGTAGTCGAAGGGTTTGTCCCACTAAACAAAATGGGCAAAATCCGTCATGTTCTTTAAGGCAAGGATTTAATCTTCTCTATACGTTTATTTTTGTTAAGTCCTTAGCTGTTGTAATTGCACCTGTTTAACATCCAGAATGAATCAAATGGACTAAAACACTCAATCTCATTTAGAGTGGCATAACTTTGTAACCTTGTCATATATTGGCATTATATTGCTGAGAGTATTTGACATTCCTTGCCTTTCTATTTCAAACTGAATTCTTTCCAATCTTCAATGTATCTTTTTTTTTTTTTTTCTATTCTTGTCCTGATGATTCAAAGCACTCAGCTGGGATGTGGTTGGGGAAGAGGAATTTCATTTTGTAGAATGAAGAAGTAAATATCCTGTAATTCAGATAAACAACTAGCTATTGATTTCCTCAGGGAAGAATGATCTTAAGTCTAGTACTTTCAGCATTAAACTTAAAATAATTTTGGAGCCAAAAATAGGAAGTTTTCTGTAGTACATATTTAACCTGTGTTCTTACCACTGTTCTCTGTGGGAGTACAGAGTAACCCCAGGCCAAATTCAACCTGCTAGCATTGAGAAACAGTTGTTATAAAAGCCAGAGTCAGGTAGAAATAAAAAAGAAGATAACCATCAATGATTTTAACATGGACCTCAACCTTGTTGTTCAGTCTGGCATAACACACTTGTCTATTAGACCTCAGAGTGATTGGGCTTCCTTGTTTATAGTCTTGCTCTTATTTTTAGGTACATTATCAGGGTTCTCAGCCTGTTTCTTTGCAGTAATGTATCCCAGCTATTGTATTCTGTTCCCTGTACTCTTATGACAATAGCTATGATTGTGTTGTGTTCCTGTGTTCTGATTAAAAGGATCATGTGGAACATTGCAAAGTAATGTGAAGTCAAGGTAATTTTTTTTAATAAGGGGAAATAAAAAAAAAAGTCTCTTCATTTTCAGCATAGGATGGGAGACTGCCTTTCATTCCTTGGCAATTTTGCAACTGGATTAATAATTTATTTCTATTTGCAAAGCTGATTTGAAATCCTCAGATCAGAGGGCTTGTATGTTTTATGAAGATTGCATACAGCAAATTTGGTCTTCTGCAGCTTAAAAATTTAAACTATTTTGTGTCATCTTTGGATATTTATATCATCTGTTGAGGTGCTGAAATGAGCAGCTCTCTTGACCTTCTTTCAAGCTGAATTCTATATTTTGCCCTAGGATTTTATAAAAGAAAATGGTCATCTTTATGAAGAAGGTCACTTCATTCCTGAGGACTTTTTTAGGCACTTTAACAGCACCATTGAGGTCTACAAGGAGTTTGCAGACATGTTGGATAAGAACGACTGTGTTCTGCCTTCAACAGTAGAAACACCAGAGAACGGTAAGATGGCTGTTATTTTGGGGAACAGAATCTAAGTAGATATAAATGGGTGATTTTCCTTTGATTTCAGAGATGCTAAGGATCTGATGCTGTACCTCCGTGTCTCCTTTTTACTGCCAGTTAAAATTACTACCAACACCGAAGCTTGTATTTCTGTTCTAAGTCGAGTTCGATCTGGCAGTAAAACTAGTGACATCGTTCCTTAATATAATCCAAATAACCTCACAATACTCTGCTCTGTTTCTTTTCATCCCAAATATATCCTGGATCGTCTTTTCACATTATTTTTCTTATCTTCTATTAATGTTCTGTTTAATCTTTATAAGGCAGTAAAGGAGCCTAAGATTGCATTACTGAAAGGATAGGAAGCTAGGACAAGTTGTAAACTGCAGCAGCCTCAAGTCACCTCTATATTCATCCCACCCCTCCTGAAAAGGGTCATGTTTACTTCATTTAAAAATTTTAACAAGCCTAAGTCAGGCTCCTGCAGTTCATTCTCATCCTTCCAGTAAATGGATGTTTTGTATTTTCTTTCACTCTCTCTAGTCACAGCTATTAGCTTTTTAAATAGGGCAACGTATCCAGTTGCACTGTTACACCAGTAGTAACTAGAAGTAGATCAGTGCCATAACCTAAGAACTTGTTTAAAGCCATTGCTTTTCCAGAATAGCTATTCAGCAGCAGCTCAGTGTGTAGACACATCTGCGTCATAATAAGACTGCCTTTTTTGGCTTAATCCACTCTATAAACAACCCTGTAGCCAGATTTTGAAAACAGCCCTATAGCCACATCAGAGTAGCCCTATAGCCCATCATCTTATATAGAGGGAACTGTATTTTAAGTTACATAATGCTGACACACTCATTTTCTATTTAGATTCCAGAGTCGCTGTCACAAAAACATTTTTGTTTCCTCCTGTTGCTGCCAGCTCCCTTAGGAATGACAGCATTGGCAGTAACACTAGCAGTAACAGTAAGTACAAGTGATTGAATTAATATATGTGTCTCCATTTTGTTCTGGTAGCTGGTTGTTACAAGAGCTCAGAGGAAAAGAATGTCATTAATTGTGCAAATTAATGGGAAGTTACTTGTGCCTGATGGTGTACCATGTGTTTCTCAGCTGTCATACTGAAATGCAATAAACTTATCTAATCAAGATTTAGAGATGCTATCAAGTTACAATGATGTGACAGCTCTCTACAACTTGGAGAGGGCAGGTGTCTTCGTTTTGGCTGTCGCGAGGGCTCACTAGTCATATGGCCTCAGCAAACTTGTCTGTCCCAGACACCTCGTTTTAACTCTCAGAAAAGGAGGTTGCTCCGAACGAACAGAATAGCGGACCTAAATTGGGCTCAGGGTACTCATGTGGACAAAGAGGTTGCCTGTACGTTGCATTTTGAGAGTACTGTCAGTCCCAAGCTTGACACCAGTCCTGAAGACAGTTCCCCATGTTTGCTTGCTGTAGTCGGAGTAGGGCCAGCTCCACAGTCAGTGTGTTTTCGGTTGAAGTCAAGGACAAAGTCACTGCACTTTTGGCAGGCTGTAATCTCTCCAGCGTGGCCATCTCTGTGTTTCTCATCTGTCTGGGTCAGTGTATTACATGACTAGTCGCTGACAGATGAGAGCGCCCGGAATTGTTGCTGTAAGAGCCTCCGTCATGAGGTCAGAAGGGATATAGGAATCTGAGGTGAAGAGAAACAGTGAAGTTTCAGGGGCTTTTAGTGACATCATGTACAACAAGGTGAATACTCCCTGGAGCTTTCCATGTGAACAAAAGAAGGGGATTTTCCTTAGAAGTTCTTGAAATGGTGGTTAAAGCTTATCCATGTTGTTGTTTCCCTTGTTCCTGTTTCCCGATGCATCAGAATGACAATGTGTTTCTCTTTTACAATTTCCCCTTGTCACTTCACAAGCATCCATGTTGTCTAAATGTGTCATGGTGAAGCGTGTGGCTGGTACTCCTTGTGCTCAAGAAAACATGGGCCAGGAGGCAGCCTGATGTAGCCTGATGGGCACAACGGTAGCTCCTGATGGTGGGACAGATATTACTAAGTTTGTGTTTCTTCTCATGCTGCTTCTCTTGGGAATGTGTAATCTAGTTATTCTCTGGGTTCTTATCACCATGCATGCTGCCTCTTAGTTGGCTCACAGCTGCTGTTGGATTTGAAGCCCTTTCCTGATTGCTTTCTAATTAAGAGAAGGCCTTAAGTCATCATTTCGCAGAACCCCCTGAGTAGAAGGTTGGAACAAAAACCACCTTCGACTCCTGGCCGCCAGCCTGCCTCTCTGGAAAGGAGTAAGTCTCGCTGCCATAAATTTCTCGCCAAAAGGTCACAGAGCTGGCTGCAAATAACCTGATGAGCCCAGGGCCAATTATGAGGCACCAGGAGGGGGCTAAAGAGCACATACCTGTCCCTCTCAGGTCTGAACATGTGAGAATTTTTGCTGTTGCTGCTAGAGGAAGAATATTCAGCTGCAGCCTGAAGCAATGGGAATGGATCAAGGAGCCAAAAGAAAGACAGATACGTTATAGGAGCAGTTCCGATGAAAGGAGTTTGACCCAGTACAGTAACAGGAGGGATGCTGGGCAGCGTGGCAGAGTGCGGCACCTGAGTCTGTACTGTGGAGAGGAGTACAGAAGCAGGTTTATTAATCTTGTTTTATAACTGGAACAGATAATCAAGTAGGGAAAAAGCCTAATTAAAATAATGCAGTAAGTCAAAGAAATTGCTTGGCTGACCATATGCTGTACAGGTGTGTTTTAACAGATTATCATTCTCTTAAGCAATTTATTGGAAAATTGGATATCAGTTAACAGCCTTATTTAGAAATGACATGAGGACTGCATGTCTGCGGCTGGGAACAGTTTGAACTCTTAATCAGCTTAAATTACATTAACTTGGATTCTGACTGGTTATACTTTAGTTATTTGTTTGGAGGTTTTTGCAGGGAGGGACCTGTGACATCTTTATTGGCATCTCTGTCTTACTCCCTGAAAATGGTCTTCAGTACTGATTTTAGTTTTGTCTTGGCTTTATTGCTGAGTAAGTTTTCTTTTTTACTTAATACCTGCCTTCTTGGAAGGAACAACAATGAACAAACCTTATTACTTCCCATGTGAATACTCCCCAGCACAGAGGACCCTGTCTGCTGGCTTCAGTCCTGTTCTCAGAACAGCACAACTAGATTCACATTTCAAAAATGAAAACATTTGGAGAAGAGGGGAGACGTGAAAAAAGCATCTCCAGACACAAACTACTGCATTTTTTTTTTTAAATGACCCTCATTAATTTTAAACAGTTTTAAATTGAGCTATTTAAAATTAATGGTTTCTAGACCATTTAGAAGCACTCACTGTTTGCAAAAGAACCCCTCTAGATTAATAATAAATTTTGAATCTATTAATAAAGTCTGTGTAGTCAGATGACTTGAACTGCTCTTAATTCTAAATTCAACTTAGACAAACCTGAAGTGCATCATCTAATAAAATCATTTGAGATAATTATCATAGAAATTGTGTATAATATAAATTAGCTAAATTACATTTTTTCATGTTGTTGCTACATTTGTTGAAAGAGTCATATTTCATGAATTCATTGTTATTACACAACAATAAAATTAAACTACTATAATAGAGTAGAATCTTGACTAAATCTACACCAGAAGTCTTACCCCAACTATGTGTAAAATGGAAAAATTATCCTGTTCTAATTTTTTTTTTTTGAATGGCAGTAATGCTGTTTTCATCCTTGTAATATTGAATGTAGATCTTTGGCATGTTCCCACTCCATCTTTTCCCCCATAAAATTCTCAAAATACCACCACCCTCAATTTATTTAGGCTGGTTTGTTTTCTTCTCTTTGTGTTACATGACTGTAGTCCAATTCAAATTCCAATTAACTGTTTAAGTCCCGGTCTCATTGATATTTCTCTGGATCATTATACCGTGCATAGTTTAGAGAATTCAGATGAGATGGTTCCTATGTAAAGAACAAGTGTGAGGGTAAGAACTCTGTAGTCCTGATCCATTTTTTCAGTGGACCAAACAATAAATAGTAGGGGGTTTTTTGTTGTTTTGTTTTGGGTTTTTTTTTCCATCAGATGAATCTCATGTTGCTCTGACTAAAGCTTGAACTTACTAGCTGTTACTAACACTTCTCACTCAATTTAGTGCCATGGTATTACTTATATTTTCATGGAAAGTTCAGCGTTGCTTTCTTCCATTTTTGCTTGTAATTTCCTCACAATAATTTGGCTGTATTATTCACTACTGAACAGTTCAAAGAATGTGTAAACACAGAGAACTCTGTAACTGTTTTTAGGAAGAAGGTCTACTTTTATAGTTAAGCAAAGAATACCATAGTTTAATTCAGTAATTGCACAACAATTTGAAGATGTTCACCCATGGCTTAATGCAATTGGTGTTGCCTTCTGTGCCTTTGTTCCTTCGCTCCAAATTTACAGTTAATGGAAAACCCTAATGAACAGGTGAGAGCTGCTCTGTATTTTTATAGATAAGATCTTGTGGTAATTGTGTTGGAGCTGAGCAGAGGTAAACCGAAAATTCCTTTGAGAAATATACGGCCAAAAAAAATTGAGCCAGTGCTTTGAATCTTAATTGGTTGCTAAACCTACACACATGGCTCAAGGTGGAGAGCAGCTCTAACTTCATTGTGTAGTTTAGTGGCTTTTCATGTAAATATATTTTGTTCACAGGTTAATATCCCAATGTCCATGAAGACTATACATAAATCTACATCAGATGAGCTTACTTCCTAAGGGTTTCTTCCATAAGGTTCAGAGTGAGGGCTCTCAGAGGTGCTGGCCTTCTTCCACTCCCCTTTTGCACCTTGCTAGGTAGCGTCTATTTTAAGTGAATGATATACTAACTGCAAAACCAACAGTTCCTCTGGCATTGCCCGAGGAGTTCACAAAATTGCTGATACACCTGGTTCCTCCTGTTCCTTCTCCTACTCTGCCTTTACAACTGCTGGGAGTGGGAATCTTTCTGTGTAGAGCTCTAAAGCTTCTAACAGGGAAAAACTTCCCTGTGGAAGGAATAAAAACCTATTGGCAGCCAGCTTGCTTTCCTTATCTCCCTTTTCTTCATTAGGACACAGGTCGCCAGGAGGTTCTCCAGACTTGAAAATTGTCCAACCTGTTCTGTTTTAGAAGTTACTATAAATAAAAGGCACACAAAGAAACCTGCTGTGGTTCATTTCATTCTCTCCAGATCTTTCAAGAGACTTTTTTCTGGACTTGAAAGTGAAATTAAATAATCTGTTGTTTGGTTTTTAAGGTAGTTATGGGTTACTTAACTTTCAAATTAATTCATAAACTATCAAGTTATGAAAAAAAATCTGTTGTCATTTTTAAAACACAGGCTGGGGAGGGTGTCACAATTTGAGTGTATTTAGGTTCTGTCCCTGGGTTGCAGATCCCCATGTGGAAAGCTAATTATGAATTCCTCTCGGTTTTCCATAGATGCTGAAGAAAGCATCTGCATTGGAGATATCTTCTCAGAAATCAAATTTTTCCACTTTTAGATACCTCATTGTAAAGGGAGCTCTTCTGTTGTCTAGGACTCTCTAAAGTTGTGAAAAATAGTGGTAAAAATGTGGGTGCTTGACTGTTGCTGATTGCCCTGCACACAGAACATTTCTCTAGAAGTCCATGTAAAGACAGAATGCTTGCCCAGCATTGCAGAGTAGGCAGAGGTTTTTTGAGGTTATATACTCTACCATAACATGTTATCAAATAAATTTGCTCTGTATGTCCTGAAAAGTTTTTCCTTTTGATTTTTATTTCACTTTTCCTTTTTTTTCTGAAGTTTGAAGAGCAGAATCCAGAGAACATGACCATCCCCATAGGATTTACATAATTCAGTTGTATAACTCAGCGGTCTCTCACTGGGGAGAATGGCTAATGGTATTAGGCAAATCAGTGTTACAATTTTCTTGACTAGAGCACAAGAGCAATATAGGAATTTTCTTCTGAGAATATGCTGAGAATACAATTCAGATAAAGTAATGACAGGAATTTTTTTTTTTTTTGAGATGTTCAGGCTGGCTCTGCCCCACTTGAGTTTTGTCCAGATTTCTTGAAGGTCAGTTCTGCAAGCAAACCTCCTCTATGCCTTATCTGGGACGGACAGTTTGAGAAAAGATATGCCGCTCCAGTTAATTTCTGCTGCTGGTTTTAATGTCTGAGGAGACAGAGGCAGACTAATCAATAGCCTCTCTTTTTCAGCTGATGTTCACCTCTGTAGAACTTTGTTGCTATCTTTCCCTTCTCCTCTGTAGACAGATTTCTTCCACGGTAAGCTAGCATCGGTTCTGCTTGACCAATGTTTTCTTTTAGTGTGCCAAGTCTACCGAATGTAAGTAAAATTCAAGCCCCTATAGTCAGAACCTAGAGTTTGTAAACAGTGTATGAGATACAGAGCTTTATGTAGTATATAAGATACAGACTTTTTGTTTTCTTACTTTTTACTTCTGTCTATCATGACTCTAGAAAACACAGCTGAATTTCAGAGATAAAAAGAACATTTGTGTAAAAACTTGCAAAATGTCAACCAGAAAATCTCAGAGGCTTGAAAATGAGTTGCTATTTAATTATGAGAATGCTCCTTTCTAAACTAAAGAGGCTGTTTAATAATGTACTAAATGCACTTTGCTTGACCCAGTATATCATACCGTACGTGCTTAGACATTTGCTGTTTGCATGAATCACACAAACTTCTAGTGCTACCAGTCCATTTTCATTTCTGTATCTAATCACCTACACTTTTCCAGTGCTTACAGTTTGGTTCTTTTCCTGTAATCTTACAATACACCCACCATTCGAGCTGCAGACACCAAATCTTGAAATGAACTAAAACTAGGTGGATGGTGTCTAAACTAGCAGTCTCCTGTGGCTCACTTTGCATTTCAGAGGGTGGATCCCAGGGTGACTCTGCAGGACTTTTCACATCCTGCTCTTGATTCAATAACTGGAGGGCCACATTTTAGTCTCAGCATGCATACAGCTCCCTGTGAGGGGAATGGGATTGCTTGTGTACATAAAAGCCTAGAATTTAGGCTCTTCCATATAAAATATAAAAAGCTATCAAGAAATGGTTACACCAGATAACACACAGCTAGACTTCAAGGTACAAGGGTTTGATCTTCCTGAAGCTAGCGGGACCTTTCCAGACAGACATTAGAAGTGAAATCAGGCTTATTTTGTTAAATTAACCTCCCTCAAGAGGCCTCGTATTGATCATTCATTAGTGGCAAGGCAAAGTGTCTATCTGCAGTCAGCGGGATGTGTCTTACGGAACTTAAGCAAATGCATGAAGTGACACGTATATTCTCTTCCAAAGAATTACTTTGTGTTACAAAATAAGACCTTTAAAAATTGATAAACCCAAAACTTTGAAGTGCGGGAAAGAGAAAATTCTCTACAAATGCCGAAAAGAGAATTAGTGTTGGAACTTTTCAACACAGCTGTTTCAGAAATGGGAGGAGCATCCTTGTGGTAAAAAATTTCCTGTGAGATTTTGTATGAAGTGCATCTCATGTACACAGCGCTTTGAAGTATCTGTTCTGCTATTTAAGGTGCTGTTATGTAGGTGGTGCATAAAAGTCCTCTTGCTAATAGTGTTGCCCTGAAGATAGTTTTCTGCTATAAATCTGTCTTCACTAATGAGAACATCTGTAATTACAGAAGAGGCACTTGGCTTCATTAGCAGCTCCAGCCTGCAAGGGATCAGCATAGCACTGACATCATTGCTGTCTCTTCTTATTGGCTTTATTTTGGGAGCCATATACTGGAAGGTAAGAAATATTGCATTTAATTGTTTACATAGTGATACTACATTTCGTAGCTATGGGGAGGCGGGAAGAACAGAACCATTCTGCATTTGAAAGCAAGAGACATCTCTTTTGATCTTCGCTGAACTGTGTGACATGCCAATGTAAATCTATGTTGTCAAATTCTTGAATTCCACCACCAAAGTGCAAATCCTGTCTTATCAGCATGATAACTGTCTAACTGGAAATTAAAAACAAGGGATTACCTCAATTTCCCAGTTCTTCTATTATATCTCGAGAAGAGGATTCTTTTGCTTTTGCCCCTTGTGCCTCTGCCTACAATACAAAGGCTTTGATAGTAAAATTATACCAGTAGAAGATGTATGTTAGAGGTCAAGATTTGGCCTACAATTTGCAAGATGACCTTGGTAATGAAAATCTGAAGCAAACTGAAACATACAATTGTTTAGGGCGTTGGTAAAGAAAGCTTTAGAATATTTATATTTAATGCATTTTTCTCCCTAGAAAACACATCCCAAATCCAGACCAGAAAGTGATGAAACTACACAGTGTCATGACTGTCAAGAGGAAAATGAGATAAGGTATATTGTTTCACTTTATATACGTATATAGAAATGTAAGTTTATCTTTGAGAGCTACTTCCTGAAGGTTTCTCTCTAGCTCTAAGACAACCACCAAAAAAACCAAACACAAGTTTCTTGCTGTAGAGGCAATATGTCTGCTTAGGGTGTGTCCTTCAAAGAAGCTTCTAGTTTGAATATCAAAATTGATATGGAGAAGATTTCTGCATAGAAAATTTTATTAAGGGGACATTACTTTTACTTTTTCTGTCCTTATTCCCACTGTGAGAAAGGATTGCTGAGACCCATAGGGGAAGCAACAAAAAAAAAAAAAAAAAAGAAAATTTTGTTATTTGCTGTGTGGTGTAAAGCTAGGTTGATATTATGTAAAAAAATAAGAAAACAATGTCTTCCTGGCTGTGTTCCTAAATCCTTCTAAATATTTTTTACATTAACATTTTTATGTTCTTTCACTTTTTTACATTCCCCAGGGTATGTGTATATAAGCATCTGTGGTTTCCAGGCCTTTTTTTAATGTTCGGAGAAAGTTAATGAGAACTCATTCAAATCCTAATAACTTCCTAAGGTCATCCTGGAATGATTCACGGCTCTATTCATACTTAAACTCTTCTTTATCTGATTTTAAAGCAGAAAAATTTCTGTGTAACTCAGTCAATCAAATATACCTTAGAAATAACAGTTGAAGACATTCAAAGTTGCTCAGGCATGACTTGGGCAAAGAAGTCTGTGAAATTCATAGAAGGACTTAGGGATATTTCAAGTTAGAATAGTTCATGCTAAAGCACTTTGAGAATATGATCTAACCTCATATTTTAGGGTGTGTGTTTGGTCAAATTTTAACTATGAGAGATTAAGGGGAAGATCTGATGCAGATGGCAGAAGGTCACATCTTATCCCGTAGGCTTCTCGCACTGTGCAAAATGCCTGGTGCTGCCTGCCGTTGAAGGCAGAAATAGGCAAGGTTCTGATCTAGCAGTTTGATCCCAGTAGCTGAAATTTTCAGTGTTCAAACTTTCTAGAATAATAAATTCTTAAATTTTCTTCATGTACAGTACATAGAATGGAAGACTCTGTATTCACCACATATATTAGTTGCTACAAATAACTCATCCTGCACCTCATCCTCACAGGTATTAAAACTTGTGAAATGGAACATGCATCTTCCTTTTAACTTCACAGGAAATATAAAACATTGTTTTATAGGAAGACAAGAGGAAACAATTAGTTAAATGCAGGAGATGGCCTTAACAGGAACTATAAACAGGTTACATTCTCCATCAGATGTCTTCTTAAATATATGGCATATGGTTTTTTTCTCCCTCTTCCCTGAGAAATTTGTAATATTCATATGTAACTAGGAAGACCTAATAGCAAACATAAATTCAAATACATTGGGTTCCCTTTTATTGTAACTAACGGATAAACCCTTCCATTCTATTTCCTTGAAACACTAGCGTTGTAGTAATAATGTACCTTTTTTTTCCCAGTATGTTGCAGCAAAAAGAAAAGGAACATCTACAAGTGTAGCTGTTGCTTTTTCTCCCTCAACACTGTTACTGTTTCGTGTACTGGTAAGTTATTATGGTTGAGAGTCTTACCATAGGCTTAACTTTTGGCTGTTGAAATATAAAGTGATTCAGAGTCCATTTTGGGGAAAAAAATAAAATAAAACAAAACTTGTTATCAGTAGGCTTCATTTGTACCTAAGATCTCTAGCAGCTAATGTAATTAATCCTGTAGCGTTAATGTAGGCATTCGATTTTTAAACTGAATGTTACAAAATGAAATATGCTGGAATTCCAAAATGAAGGACAGCTACTGCTTCTCCTTTTTGGCATGAGAGCCGATATGGAGAAGTCTTCAGCTGTTGTCCTACAGCTGTTTCAAAGCAGCATGACCTAAAAAACATAGTCCTTAAACTAGCAGGTGAGTGTAGGAAAACAGGCCAAGTAGAGCTGAGCTTCTATTAATTGTTGCTTACTTGGCACATTTTGCAGTCTCTGTAGCCTTATCAGATACCTCATCCTTGCTTTAGTATGTAAGAGTGAGCAGCAAAGCTGAGCGAGCTTTCTCAGTCTCAGCTGTCCTCTGCAGAGCGGCGCACGTCTCTGGCAAGGGGCTTCTTCCCGCAGGAGTCGTGCTGTACGTAACCCACAGCATCTCTGGCAAGGGTCTGGAAGATTCAAGCAGCGCTGAATGCTTCATTTTATATTGTGAGTGGAAAGAGCAGTGTAAGAGTGTAACAGTCAGTCCAGGTCTTGCAGTTCATCCTGGAGTGCTCATTCTCAGGTGTAGTCCAGAGTGTTCATTGTGATCAAGATAGCTACAGCTTGAGAGATTTCCAGTCTCCTTAACTGCTTTGTTCTAACATCTGCTTACTGGGAAGGGAAACCATCACTGCATTGGACAATTCATTTGATTTTTCCAAAGATGTAAACTCAGTTTGGTATTGGCTTGTCCAGATGACTTCAATGGGAAGTTTTCTGTCAGGGATTGCCAGATACCACAATGCACAAACCTAACAGTTCTGTAAAACCATCAGAGTTGTTTCATCACTATAGCTGACATCAGTGAGCTTTTGCAGGCAAGCGTGTTGTTGGCCCAGGGAAGTACATCTTATAACAATAATTTTTCATGCAGAATAAAGGAATGTCTATGCAAGTGTCGTCGAATTTATCTATTTCCAAAACTATAAGAAAAAAATATCTGTTATATGTCTGTGAAAAGCTCTACTGTTTAGTAATACAGACAGGAAAATTAATCAGCAAAATTATAATTTGTTTTTCTCTTCAGGCAGGTAACAGTTCCATGTTCGCTTCATAAATGAAGCAGCTTTAAGCACATTCGTATTCCTTCTGGAGTGACAGACTGAGTCTGCATCTGTTGTTGCTGCCCATGACTCCATAGACATGATATAGAAATGAGGACAATTTGTGTTTGTTACTGTGAAACCAACACTGAATTGAACAACGACAAGAAGAGTGTGCACTTAGCAGGACTGTATCTTATGTGAATATCTACCTTGTGTGGCATTTGGGGATTTGTAATGCATTAATACTTGCAGCTGACTCTGGCAAACATGTCCTGAACAAAAAGCATCTTTCAAATGCCTCCAACTATGTGTAATCATTGAAAGTCATAAATACCTTTGCATCCTTAATTTAAGTTCTGTGTCCTCTACCTTACCTTGGTGTCTTCAGGTGGAGTTCTCTGATCTGACAGAAAACGCAGAAATGGATACAGATAATATACTCTTCAATATTGTATATAAAACTTGAAAGCAAAGTCATGCCATGGACCCATGTTCTAGCCTTTTACTTACAAGAAGCTGTGTTTATGCCAGGCAAAGGCCATGTGAACAGCAACACATAGTCTCTGTCGGGTGCCAGGTGGCTGGTTGCCCACCCCAGAAAGCCTCAAGAATTCGTCAGTGTTGGTGGTCTCTGTTCAGGAGGAGCAAATACTGGATGAAGACAAAGTAAACAGGAGGTGAATGTACCTCATGGAGCCTTGAACCATTAAGAGTAACTGCTGGGTATGTGAACACTGGTGAAATTTCTAGCCATGCCAGGGGAAGGGAAAGTAAAGAGTCTGAATTGCGTTCAAACATCAGAATAAAGACAAACCCATGAAATGCATTTTAAATGCTGAAGATGCATGCCATTGATACTTTGTCTTTAAATGTATAGCATAGAAAATCTGAAAAATCCTGAGAGTGTATTTAGCTTTTACTTACATCAGCTGTAATTAATGTTTGCGTTGTGTTTTAAGTGATTAGTAAGCTTTAATATCCTGGCATTCTCCACTCTTAAAGTTAATTCTCTTGAAACAGAAGAAAAAGGCTTTTTTCCCCACTTGTCTTCTGCATCTATTGCTGTTTTAGCAGCCATGGAATCTGTACAGGACTGATGTGCAGACATGCATTTTCAAGTAAATCGTAAAAATACTATGGTAAAAGTTACAAGTGTAGTTGTACATCTTTTCATCTTGGCTCTTTCCAGATAAGGGGTATGAATTATTTATCTGTATTAGGGGTTTGCACTTCAGAAGGTAAAGGTGGCTCACTTCAGATGACAAACTGTCAACTTTCATTAAACTGACCAGGTCAGCAAGAGTTTTAGTTTAAGTAACTTAAACTTAAAAAAACAACCAAAACAAACCACCACCCTTTTAATGTTTTGCGTAAAGTTGGAGTTCTCTTTAAAGTATATAGTTACTTAATTTTTTAAGAATTCTTGTGGAAATTTTAATAGTCTGCTGAATTTTCTGAGAACCATGCATAAAAAGAATGACATACATATAATATATACGTGTGCATGTGTGTATTATTGGTAAAACTGATTCATCTTTCATACTTAGCAAAAAGAAAAAAACCTCAAAACCTTACTACATTTGATGACAGAGCTTATGTGTGCATGTAGCCACTCTGCGTGGAATTGTGACCTTACTGAGGTCAATGTTGAAACTTCTTGTGAATTCATTGATACAAGGATTTGATCATGTGGAACTATTTTTTATTTATACTGAGGCCATTTTGTACTTCCTGGTGTCAGAAAAGGGTCCTCAAGTCCTGCTCAGCTGGTATAAATTAGCATAGTTCCATCAACATGAACAGAGCTTTGGGGTTTGCATCATCTGAGGAACTTCTCTTAGACTAGATCAAAAAAAGCTTAGTGTGAGAATTAGGCCTTCATTTTTATTCAGAAGATGCTGGAGCTCACCACTTAATAAGAAATAATCAAGGTTGCTCATCACTTCTAAAAAGCAAGTACATTCCAAATTTTAGCTCTGCAAAAATCAAACAGAATTCCCCGTCTGCAGCTCAGTCTCACTTGACAGTGTATAGTTCTTTAGTCACAAGGCCCTCAGACTTTGTGTTTCAAACTTATTTAAGAGTCACCCTGAAAGAAATGTCAACATGACCTAACTGATGGGAAATTTTCACCTTATTGGTAATGTGGAGAATACCTGTGTATTGATTTTGACAGAGTGGAAAAGTATCCATAGTAAATGGAAGCAATTATCCTTACACGTTTTACAAAAACCTTAAATACTTCATGTTGCTATACAGGATGTTCTCAAAGCAAGCTTATGCATTTGAAGTTTTCCAGTATTTTTCTTAGATTCAGTTAAATAAAAATCTTGTATTTATTAACGTTCTTTGTCCATAAGAATGTTAGTTTTCCTAAATGCGTTTTTTCCGGAAAATCAAATACATGGTAATGGTGCACATTGGTGTGCCCCAAATTATACTTTGATATTCAAAATGCACAATGTTTTAGGCTCCTTAGTCTACTGTTCAATGCTATAAAAAATACCAGTTGTAAATTGAAACATACATTAAATCCAGATAGACATTCCGAGAGTAACATCTTAAAATAGTAGCTAAGTCACTTTCAAATAATGTCAGATACTTTAATCTCTTCCAAGGAGCAAGGCAAATTTAAGGCTACATGAGAACAGAAAGAGAATTAATGTATAAACCTTCCCACTTCACATCACAAACGTTGTTCTTTGAATATGCACCAAAGTAGTACAACACATGGAGTAGCAGAACTGTTGTTGGAGCTCATGGTTTTCCTCTTCTCTGCACCCCCTTTCGAGAGATCTGAACAAAACATTGGGTGTTCTCAATCATTTTGCAAAGCAGAAGGCACTTCTAGACATTCATGGATACAGTGGATGGCATGGCACTTGGAAACGTGATTGTGAAATTATTTGAAAATTTCTGTGCCCAATTTGTCTACCCACTGAGGAGGCCCTTATTTTGAAAGACTACTGACTTGTGGGACATCTTTGAAATAAATGAAAATAGAATAAGTTACTGTTCAGTGGGAGTAGGGATGGCAGAAATAGTCCTTCAATTAATTCTTTATCCAGTTGTAAGTTATTTAACTTACAGTTATCAGTGATCAGTTTTTCAGCGTTCTTTTTGGGTAGACAGCCCATGTATTAACACAGTCAGAAAATGAACACCCTTTCTCTAAAATGAAATTGGGGAGAAGCGAGTGTTGTATTTTTTATACAGAAGTCAACCAAATTTGTTTTTCAGGTATTTGTGGTTTTGTGAGAAACTAACATTTTTAGGTTTCCTTTGGAGTAGTTGAACTTTGCATGCAATTTATAGTGACCTTGTGAGAATAAAAAGCAGATAGTTATATACTGAGTAACAAAATGTGCTACTTTAGATGTGTGTTTACTTGAATAAATTAATGGTACTTATTTCATCACAAGGTCATTTTATAAGTAAGCTTATAAAATGTGCTACACTATGGAGTATGTGTACAACCTGCACATTTTTTAAATTCTGATCTTCAGCAGCTCTGTTTTCTCTGTTGCTCTCTTTGTAATACACTGAAACTGTTCAGTACTAACAATACAACTATTAAATTGAAAAGCTAACTGTATATATAAAATACAGATATTTTGAGTTAGATTTACATTTAAGAATTATCCAACATTCTTCAATTCAGGAATCTGATTCAACTGTCTATTAAATGCAGATCTACAGTGATGGTGGCATGTTG